CGTGCCTTGCCATTTATCAAATAACGGTCCATTTTAGTCCATCGTGCCAAAAAATCTTGTCTCATTAATCAATGCCTCTTGAGGCTTGGACAACAAGTGACTGTGAAGATAACGTGGTGTAACTCCAAGTGCCGACTGTAAGTTACTGTCGATAATTGGCTGTCCCGAAAACGCACTTTGTATAAACAAATTATCACTTCGAAATGCTCATACGACCTCTCGCTGGGTATTTATCAATTACTGTATTAATTTACCCACTATGAGCTTGCTTTTCGTTGAAAGAGGTAGTTGCTGTCGTCTTGTGCTAGCTTTCCGCCTGACCCCCGCTTCTCAGTGAAAACAAGTACTGGAAGGAATTTCGATTTAAAATTGGCATGAAACATAAGTTCATTAGTGCATTTTACGTGTATTTTCAATTTTGTGTGTTTCTGACTAATATTCGTGCCCTGCGATGAATCTCCAACGCCTTTCACGACACTGAGTTGTCTGCTGAATCTCTGCTGTACGTATTCGCGTGGATGAGATTCGAAATCACTCCGTACGTTGCCCAGAATTAATTCCATTCACAATATGAATCAGTTTGATCGGAACTGACAGTCCTCCATACACCTCGATGCGCGTCTGCAAGGTCCGGTGTGTGTCGGTTGTAGAGACTTAACTGGTTGCAGTTTTAATGATTAGCATTCTAATGCGAGTGCTCTGGAGTGTTATTTGAAGTGTGACAACTGCTAAGTACTAATGGATTTGTGCCGCGTTGAGGTTGTAAACCCCTGGCACACCATCCTGACGGGAGGCTTTCCAATTTTGCGTTTCCGACCACTACAGCCACTGGAAACACTGTAAAAAACAATTTGTCCTAAGTATTATGGAGTGTGAACAATGAATGGGTCAGTTGCGTAGTCTTGCGAGGATTGCTTGGTTTGTTCTTGTGTATGTCTGTGTGTGTGTGCGTATGTAATGTGTGTATGTGTGTGTGGGGGTTTGGTGGGACAACACCCAGCCCCCTCTTCTTCGTTTCCTCAATCCTCCTTCCGTTCTTCGTTATTTAGCAACGTCTCCTGCTGCTTGCAGCAGCGCTGACATTTGTCCAACCTCCTT